ATCCCCTTTGGTTCTAAAATTGCCTATCTTCATCTTACACCAGTTGGAAGGAAACTGATAAAACTGGTTTTGAGCTGGAAGCAATTAAAAAAATACGTATTTCAAATGGTAACATAAGTTGCTAACTTGTTGTGGTTTTGTAACTCACACATGGCCGACTAACTTTTAAAACCTCAAACTCTGCATGTTTTAAGTTCTCACAAAAAATGAGGGCACAGTCTCCTTTTGAAGGCTCACATATTAGAGTAAGGTAATGATCTTTTTTTTGACTCACAAATCAGCTGCACATGAACTGCTGCTGTACAAAGGCACTGCATGTTGGATGCAATGGCTAGTACTTTGTCACTTAACGTAGCCACAGGGTTTTTTTCACTGTTAAGAAGTTCTGTTCCCAGCTATTTCACCTAGAAAAAAAATGGCTCTTAAAACACACCGTAGGTACTCCGGATGAAAGTTTGGTACAATGTTTATAGAAAAACTATTTTCTCTCAAAACAGTCTTCTCTGCTGCTATCCACCTGCTAAATATCCTTCCCTTCATTCAAAAATCACCAAGAGTTTTGCCTACCTGGACTGTAATCAATCTAAATAATGAAGAGCTTACTCCTCTTAAAGCAGTGCCAGGCACTACTGCACTCCTGGGCTATACCTGGCCTGCCAGAACAATACCCGCCAGACCTCACAGCTCGTTCAAGAACCCACTTTCCTGGGAAGACCTTGGTAATTGAGTGGGGAGACAGCACCTATGTTGCACATGCTCTGAAGCAGCAGATTGGTGCAGAGAGAACCCGGAGGGTCACCGCAGCTCAGTGGCACCCAGCAGGCACCATGGCAGGCCCAGCACGCCTGCCCTCGCAGAGACACGTTGCCACTGGCAGCAACGGACACGTTTAGCCAAACTGACATAATTGTTGACCAGACCGGATTTCTCAACCCTCCTTGTCCCACATTTTCAGGTGGCAAAGTGCTCAGCAAGCACTTCTTCAGCTAGGATCTATGCAGAAGGCACAGAATGCTGTCAAAATAAAGCACTGAATCACCACTATAAAACCATATTTTTTTTAAGAAGGAGCTCCTACTATATAATATCGGATTATAAAAATTAGTCTACAGTGAAAGTGAAAACACCTTTTTGTAATTCTGATTCTCTGTCACAGCATTTTGTATGTCAAAGGTCCTATATTTTAGCAAAGTTCTCAAGCAAACAAACCAAAGTATGCATAAGTTCATCAGAAATAATAATAATTTAAAAATCAACCCATGTACTGAGTGTTGGTACAATATTCCAGCTGCAAAGGTAAAATTAGTAAAAATCTTCTCTGATATATTCAGAGAACTGACAATTCCCAGGCAGTCTCCCACAAATTCACGCTCCTCACCCCCTGAACACAATAGCTAAAACCCAAGAGTCAAAATTCACCCCTTCTAAGGCTTAACCTAAGCTTTCTTCCTTAAGTTAGGTTGCTCTTCTGCTCCCTCCCACAAAGCCTACTTGTTCAACCTCCTCTGCACAGAGAGAACACAGGAGGTATCCTGAGAGAATTTTGATGCTTAGCAGAGACTGAAATTTACAACTCTTCTATATTTCTTTTAATAATTTTCTAGTTTTAATTATTTTTTGTTTGTCATAGGAGCTACATTTTTCAGGAGTATGTGTAATACAGGCACAGCTTTGGTTCTGATACAAGCACTGTTAAGAATTAAATCATTCAGGTCACCAAAGCCGTATATGAGTGTCCGCTGGTCCCAGATTAGGGCTTTAAATGTTCACCTCTATATTTAGAAACCTAAAACCAAATGGCCAACTTTCCTGATGACTCAGCATCCATACTGACTGCAGAAGAATGCGGATCCCCAGCAGGCCCCTTTTATAAAAGTGCTTAGAAAGTCCAAACACGAGAGTTATGGCTTATACACTTTTCCAGACCAAAACCTGAAAGTCTATTAATAACTTTTCTTTTACTTCTCGTCCCATACTACCACTGGTTTTAGGAAGAACTTCTAAGCATACAACCTTTCCCTTTTACCTTTTGTTATATGCCTCTTTAAAGAATCTCTTTTTTCTCATGCCTGAACTTTTCTTTAATTGGATGCTGGCCAGTTTCCATTTCTCTACCTCCCAGTCCACTGATAGCTATGCTCCTATTTTATTTTTATACATACACATACACACACACACGTATGTATGTATGTATGTATGTAATCTAAGCCCTTTAGGCTTCTCTTTGGCAATAAATGTTTTGTTGTGTTTAAAAAACAAATAATAATCAGGGAGCACTGAAATACTTGGCAGCACTCTGAGAGACATAAAAAAGGTCGCTCTAGGCTCCCCCGGGGAAAGTTTGCATGTTCATGGCTGATCTTGCCTACTAAACTGGGGATGAAAACCAAGAGGCCTGAAGCTGTCACTGTTCATGTAGTTACATGCGGAGATTTATGTTAAACTTTGTATTTATTCACTTTATGAATACAAATAGTAATACTTAGATAATGTAAGTAATATGTAATACTTACATTCCACTTGGGAATCTCCAAAAGCTATATTAACGTATATCACAAGGTAGAGTAGCCGTAAACATGAACGTGAAAATGATATGAAGTATCACATACACACGTATAGTATACCTCTACTAAAAAAAAAAAGCTAGTAACATAGCAGATAAAATGGTCCCATTCTTGATCTCACCAATAGGAAAATGCACTGGAAACAACACTCAAGTTAATATTTGCCTGCATTATCATCAACTATTTGTGGCTTTCAAAGAGTGTTTGTTTTCTTTTTCAAAATGACAGACTGTTTTAGACAAAGGAGAATAAACAATTGTGAAAAAAAATGGAAGCTCAAAGCATAATGTTAGTTTAAATTATACTGCTTTACTGGTATTTCCTTAGAAACACACACCAATATGCACAGTGTTTTGGTAATGAAATAACACAATTTCTATGAACTCTAAAAAGACAGGGAACAAAAATATGCATTTTCACTTCCCAACAATGCCTTAAAAAAGCCTTTTTTTTCCCTTTTTTTTTTTTTTAAATCTTCACTAATTTTGTTATTTTGGACTTCAAAGGGCTGTTAATTTAAGAATAGGCATACTTTCTCACAGGTACTTTCTCAAGTATTTGAGAGAGAAACAGCAAAAATGAACATTCCTTCTGCACTTACATTGACATAAATGACATTGGGAATCTGTGTCAAAGATTCAAAGATTTTTTTTTTTTCCGATTTAACCCTGAGGCCTTTTATTAACATTGTTTCAAAGTAAAATAAATATTTACTGTTTCTAATACTCTGTCTCAAGCTAGTTGATGCAAGAATAAAAGTGTGGTCTAGTCGTTTAAACATCTCATGTGATATAATACTTACATGCTTTGCAGACTGTGTGCCATGCAGTTTCCTTTTTCATCTGCTTTCATTTGTTTCTAAAATAAGTACATGCAAAATAAAAAGAAACTAAACCCAAGGTTCTTGTTGATTATATTGATTCCTTGTAAACTTCAGTAAAATAGAACATAGACTTATTGCCAGTGTGATTTTGTTCTTCTCCCTTTGTATAAGCTAGCTCAGACTGTTTCCAATTTAAAAAAATAGACCTTATTTCAGAGTTTGGTAACTATCACTGAGTATATATTCAACTCACTAATATTAACTCTTGAATAATAAAATGTTTATCTAAAATAAGATTATGTTTGTCATAATTTTTATCTCAAAGCAAGTCATGCTCAGTGACAATCACAGCTTTATCACACCATCTTTTATTAACACAAACATCTTTCCTTGTTAGATTAAATGATTGATCTTGAACAGCATTGTGTATCATTTCTGGGTTTAGCTCAGCCCCTGTGTAAACAGGCTTAGCGTTGTCATTAAGAATTACACCCATTTATACCAGAGATAAACATGCCGAGGTCTCTCTGTGAAATCACAGTTCCATTCTAAAGATGCAGCTTCTTGCTACTGTTATTTTCTCATTTTAAGTAAATGCACATTTAACTACGGGCTGCACTGGTAGTTTGCAAGGATGGAGATTAATCCTAAAGTAGGTGCAGAAGATGCAACTCCACTCCGCTTCAGAGTAAAAACCGTTTCTCAGAGGGATTGTCACCCACATACAAGTGCTGGAGTGCAAACCTCCTCCTTGAAGTGCCTCACACTGCCTTTTCGCTTCTCCACCCACCACTCTTTCTCATCCTCTCACTGTTGAGTGTAATCAATGTCATTGGAAACTAAGCTGCCCGATTCCTCAGAACGACATCTGACAATTGTGCTTAATAGGGTATGTACCAGAGCCATTAGAAATGGCAAAGCTTTTCCTAGTGTAGAATAAAAGACTAGTGGTAGGTTTGGATTCTCTAGGTCCATCTGCTAAATCCTACACTGCACAACCACCATTCTATTGAAGCTCAAAGATGCAGCTCCTCCATTTAAAGAGTGCTTGTTACTTGGGAGGAAATGGAGGCTAGAGTGTGCCTGACACTAAAGAACGAAAAAATTAATGTTGGCTCTGCACTGAAACCCTCCAATACAGCCAGTCTGACCCAAGCATAATTAATCGTCTGCTCTTTTAGTAAACCAGTTACTTTTATTCTTTAGTTTTTGTCTCATCCAAATGCCAGTTTACAGTGATAATGTCATGACAGGGAAGTGTGATAAGACTGATGTCTCCCTCCCTCTCTCTAAGGCACTGTACTGCATTTGTCATTCTATATAAAATACTAACTGCTGTATGATTGCTACAGGACTACATGTTGTCATGCCAATTACTATGTTCTCTTTTTTTCTACTTTTTCCCTCTCTATCTTTTCTTAATTCAGTAAACTGTGCCTGCTAGACCCATTTTGTATTCAGTTTTATTCTCTAGCTCTAATGCTAAGTAACATTAGGATCTCACAAAAGATAATGAAAAAGGTTGTAGGATTGTTTTTGTTTTGTTTTGTTTTATTTTGTTTTTATTGAAGGCATTTTAAAATCTTAATAAGTATGCAGATTTTCCATTTCAAACACACAAAAATAAAAATGGAAAAATCTAATGTAACTAATTTCTGGTAACCCACTAGTCTTTTAGCCTTGTGAACATTGTGATTCCTTGTTTTTATAGGGCACACTGTATATGTTTATCAATGTAGGTTTGTTGCCTGACAACTTGACTAATTCACCTTGCTTTTTGTATCATGTAAAGGGATAAACCAGACCTTCTAAATACAAGTTATATGCCCTCCTCACATTGTCGATCATTCATTTCCCTAACCTGCCTTCATAGGAAGTTTTTTCATGTCTCTAGGAATTTTCACCATGTATTTCTACTGCATCTTTTTTCTAGCTGGACACAACACAGAGATATACACTGGATTTATGCAGTAGCTATAGAACATTCTATTTTTACACCATATTTACAAATTTTAACATTTTGGTTGCTTTTGTAACTAGCAGCATACACCAAGTCTGTGTTTTTAATGAAAGTAAAGTTCATTTAGTATCAATACACAGGAATCCTCAGATTATTCTTTGAGCATTTATTAAATCGTGTATGTAATCAGTGGGTTTTAGCCATCATTAAGCTAATTCACTGGCTTTCTTAATCTTTCAAGTTCCCCTCAAATTGTAGTAACCTGATCAATAAAACATCCTCTGAAAATGGGACTAGCTTGTTGCTAACTCCTTTTTCACAGGAGCAACTGACAAGATACCTTTGGCTAACATTAAGTATACAAAGTTTCGTAACACAATTATTAGCTTTAATATTCTTGATGATGTATGTTAGACCTCAAATAACCTAAATTTTCAGCCTCTTGGATGAGTGCTTCTCTGCAATCATGAGAATGTTTTAAAATAACAAACATATTCCTTCTCAAAACTGTTGTAATTTCAGATAAAGCCTAAAGATTATTTTGCTATTTTCCTTTTAAGTCGTATTTCTAGTTTATTCAAATTCTTTTAAGTTCTGTTGAACAGATGCAAGTATAACAGAAACTGAGATTGGGTGGCACTTCAAGGTGATAATCTGCAGATATGGTCTTGATTTAAATGGGGCAACATCAGAACATATGGAGTAAATTTAATTGTCCTACCTTGATTGAACACAATCAGGATGCAAGCACTTCTGTTCTTTTGTATTTGCTTCCCAGGAGGTTAGGAGCGTAGCTTCTGTCACTATAGAGTTCTACTTGAAAGGAGGTAAAAACATTGTTCCCCAAGGAAAAAGCAAAAGCAGGTGTATCATAAACCTGCCTGCACTGTTGCAAACATGTGCACAGCACATATAAACTACAACCAATAAAACATTCCATCTTTGTAATAAATTGAAATACATTGTGCACATATGATGAAGGACAAAGCCTATAATATTCCACTAAGGTGAAAACACAGTACCGTTGGGAAAAAAGACTTTGAAGGTAGGTCTTTCCACCTCCAATCCTTATTCCAATTTCTTTGTTTACCCACACTTCACCCTATTTCTGTAACAAAACAGTTCCCTTTTTCTTCTTGCCTCCTCCATTTCATTTCACACATTTCTAGCCCCAATGTCCTTACCCTGCCACATCCCCTCCTGCTATACATCTTCTCCCTATATGGTGCCCATGGTGTTCTTCAGTTCCCTGTTGAGTTCTGCATATCATTCTTCTTGCTTTGTCAGTCCATCCAAGCTTCCTTCTTACCCCAGTTCCCACTGGAAAACACTCACTTCTCTTGTCTGCCTTTCAGCTGCATCTTTGTCTTCCTCCCCTCTTGCCTGTATGGCTCTTGCGTTCAAATCGGGCAAGTTCTTCTTTTAGTTGCTTGGTACTAGTAAAGGGTGAGGATGGTCATTGGATAGAGAAGTTCTCTTCTCAGCTCAAAGCTGACAAAGAATCAACAAAGAACCTGCTAAGATGTCCATGGCAACCCATGTAATTCTTACTGTGTATTATCTGTCACCATGTTTAGCAGACTTAGATGTGTCCAATTTCTGGCTGATTCTCAAGAGGAGGGCAACTGGCACATAATTGATGTAAAAAAACCCCTCATGTCCAATCTCTGTTCCAAACACGGTGGGAAGTTTACATAGATATTGAAAGGCAAAGTGACCTGTATTACTAACAATAGCAATGTTTCATATTTTTATAATATGCATAAATGGTTTATTTCCAAGGTTGTTCAACCCCCCATTATGAAGACACTCTATGAAGAAGAAATTATTTATGTACGAACTGTCTACTATTATCACTGCCATTACAAACAGCATACTCTAAGGTATATTTGACTTTAAATAATTAAAAAACCATAGCCAATACCACTATATTAATTTAGCATCTATATAATTGTTTGGATTCACACACACACAAAAAAATGCAATCTGTTCTGTACAGAAGGAAATAAAACTCTCTTGCTTCGATCCTAGAAATAACCCAGCCAGCAAACCTTACTGCAAATGTTTGTGTATATAGCTCCTGTGGAAACTGCTTAATTGTCTAGTATGCACAGGAAAAAGGGGAAATGAGGCATATGTCAACAGATCAAAGAGCACACCAAAGCAGTGAATAAGGATTACACAAATGAAAATAAAGTAGCAAAATTTATGTTAAGTGATTTCCACTGGTGTTTAATACAAATTTTCAGAATGGTTTGTTACAAATTTTTAGTCATTATTAAACAGCAGAATCTGCACATTAGCCAAGTTACAAAGCAAAAGACAAAACAGAAACAGCAGTTTCCAATATAAGAAACTTTTCCTTAGTGTCACTAGAGTTCCTGCTGTCTCCCTGTCTGCCCTGCATTTTGGTTGTCCTCTTCAGTGGATTTGCAGATATGGCAGAAGCACCCGCCTTGGTTTCGCTGGAACACACCCAACATTTTTAATATGAGTTAATAGTTATTGACTTGATACTTCAGAATTAATGTAGGAAAAAAGGTTGGCCACTTTCTTTATAGCTGTCTTGTACTTGCTTAAAAAGTAAGCAAGGTCTAAGCCAGTAAATACCATACTTATGTATCCCTGTCCAGAAATATAATACCAGTGGAGATGGGCAAAAAGTACACAGTATTGATAAAGCAAACCAAAGCCAATGAAGCCAAAGCTTAATTCTAATGGTATTATCTTTCTCTAATTGCCATTTTTATACCTTCACAAGTCGACTTCACCAGTAGGTGAAGGTAGTCATGCTGAACCAAAAAAAAAAGCAATTAACAATTAAAATGTTTAGTATTTAACTAATGTGTGCTTCTATAAATTTATATAATTAGAGATTTCAGGTACACATCTGACTAAAGAAGTAACTTCAGATTTCAGAAGTTAAACTTACAGCCTTTTTCTACACTGGGCATACTTTGTTTGCAATACCCTAATTTTTCTTTCATCCAGAAATAATTATCAATAAGCCACTTAAAACTCCATTTCCCATACAATTGTCTGCATCTCTCTTCTTTATTTCAGTAGTTCTACCTGCCTTTCTTTTACCAGTATTGTAATACTATTTTTCCCCAACTAATACAGATAATTTGAAAGTATTTTAAAAACATGTCCTTGATTAAGCTTTTTGAAAATTAAAAACTAAGCCAAAATACAGAAAGTCCTACTCAGATTCAAAAGTTCTTATTGGGAACTATGTCCATTTACCCTTCTATCAAACTTACAACTGTTCAGACTACTTACAGTTCACTTTACAGTGGATATTCTACACTTAGAAGCAGTAGCTGATCTTACTACTAGTGAAACAGGCACCATTACTGTAAAAGAGGCAGCCAATACTAATGCTGCAGGGTATGGAAGAGAAAGAACCAATTCTACTCAAGGCCATACAAGAATTCAGGGTCTGGTTTCTTCCGATGTTACATTTCTGTTAAACTAACAACATAGCATATTAAAATCTTGCCAAAATCAACATATCAGTGTGAAAGTCAAAGCAAACATTTCATTAGCCTCTACACATGGAAAATCTACATGAATAAGACTGCATGATGCTCGAGAGCTTATCATCACCATCGCCCCTCTGGAAACTTCTACAACTGAAAATGCTTTGTACTAGACCAAGAGCTATGCATACCAGAAGGCATGATTAATAGCACAGGGTGGCAACCTAATTAAAGTATAAGCAGATATTTATTTACATTTCCCAGGCAGATGCTACAGTCTCTTAAGACTTAGGGCTTGAAGAAACACAGCTATGTTTTAACCTTTGATTTATACCACAAGGCTTTTATTGCAGGTTACAATAATGCCATTGCTAACCAAAGCTTCCTAAGCTACTTAATTAATAAAACAGTATCTTACTCTAATGGGAGTTTAGAATACACTAGAAATGCAGGATCAGATCTTATCTTCAAAGACCCCTTATTGTACCTCATTCTTGAAACAGACTGGATTTATGGAAATTAAGCAGGTCCCTCATCTTGTCAAAGGGAATAAAGATATTTAGCATCTAAATTCAGGTAATTTTTTTTCTAGAAGACAATCAGTTCTACTTAGCTTAGCAGCTAACAACTTGCAAGAAAATGGGCTGTCAGCTTACCCTTCAGACTAAAACAAAAGCAAGAAAAGAGACTTTGAGAGTGTCACTATATTAATGGCACTCAAAACTGCATGCATGTTACAGATTACATGCATTCTGTACCCCTGTTGAAGTAAGAGATTTATTTTATTCATTCACCTGTTTCTTGTCCTCTTCTTGTGGCTGATTGTAAAACTACATTTAAATAGCAGAAGTAGCATCTTTAAATACTAGGATCAATACAAAACCATTGTATCTTTTTTCTAAGACTAAAGCCCTAAGCAAGCAATCTCTCTCTGTAAACAACAAAAATACCTCAACTGCCATATAGGTCACCATTTTAGTGTGATTATAATACCCCATAACAATATTAATAAAATATACTCTGGACTACTCTTTTTGTTTCTCCTTCTAATATATCTGACATACCATAAAAATAATACCTGTATTTATCCAGGCATTATGTGAACTATTTAGTTTCAGCACTCTTTTGGCAATTCTCTTCTAAATGATGTTCAGTTCACAACCTGTGGCACTTTCAATATAACGTACGTGTCACTAAGCTGTTACAGAAACTTGAGTTTGGCATGTTTGTGATCAGCATGTAGATGAAAAGTAGAGACTTGAGAGGAATAAGTCAGTCGCAGTGGATGATGCCAATCACTGACTAATCAGATACCTATGCATATCACATGCAGTTACTATGAAAAAATAACGTACATGCAAATCAGAAAGAGATTTTTGTCTTCATTATTTATGCACCAAGAAATTTCCCCCCAAAGAGGAAATACAGTTGAAAGACAAACAGTGGGTACGAGACATGACTCAGAAATTAACAGCACAGCTTGTAGTGATAGTGAGAACAGATACTCTGTTTCTCTAAATCTCTGAAACAATTATGCTTCAGTCTAAAACTTTTTAGATACTGTGAATTTCAACAGGAACAAGATACATGCTTATACTTACTGACTATTCATATTCAAGGAAGTAAAAGACTGGCTGGTAAGAGTTATGAATAGATTAATGTACATCCCTTTATTGCATAAAAAGCAGAAGTCAAAGAATCACAAAATCATCTAGGTCGGAAAGGACCCTGGAGATGATCTAGTCCAACCGTTCGCCTAGCACAGTTCCCACCTACAGCATATCCTTAAGCTCTAAATCGACCCTACTCTTGAACAGCTCCAGGGATGGGGACTCTACCACCTCCCTGGGCAGCCCATTACAACACCTAACAACCCATTCTGTAAAGAAATGCTTCCTAGTATCTAGTCTAAACTTTCCCTGGGGCAACTTGAGGCCATCCCCTCTTGTCCTGTCGCTTTCTACTAGGCTAGAGGCTCAAACCCAGGTCTCTGCAGCTTCCTTGCAGGTGGTTGTAGAGGGTGATAAGGTCTCTCCTCAGCCTCCTCTTCTCCAGACTAAACAATCCCAGTTCCCTCAGCAGCTCCTCATAGGACATGCGTTCCAGACCCTGGAATTCAGAAATGCTTTTTCCCAGATCATCTTCACACACATATACATTTACAAAAAAAACAGGGAAGGATTTTCAGTTCAATATATTTCTCCTTTTCAGTGGCTAACACAAGATTTATAGGAAAGATACATACTCAAATCTGCTTCGGTTTCTGGAGTTCATGGCACAATTATATATAAAGGTGACTTTCAGCAGTTTCTTCAAGATTATTCTGAGATAGCAGCAATGGTTTTTGGAACTTGCTTTGTATCCAAACTCGCTGCATTTTCACTTTTTTCTTCCTGTTTACTTGTAATCGCCGATCAACTAAATTCTGTACTTCAGTTAATCCAGCCAAGTTGAACATGTTCCATATCTCATCTATTTTCTCATACAAAGAATTATTTGAATTAAAAAAAAAAAAAAAAGCATTTATGGAATGTAGTAATTAACAACCAGCAGTTCAACAAAACATGGAACTAAATCTGTTTTGTGATTTTAAAGGTGAAGGAAACTGCTTGTATTTTTGTTAGAAATTAATTTTCAAAGCTTTCGATTTATCTTATAATTAAAAAATGTTGAGGCCCAAACCACATCGGTTATTACTCATGGCATTCATAGATGCCCTTTCTTCAGATATTTCAGTATGTCACAGTTGAGGAAAACAAATGCATGCCATTTGGTCACTGTTGGCCTATTATTGAACTAATGCTATTTCACCTGCCAAATAACAATCCACACATTTATACCAGGGTCATTATCTCCTCATCAGACACCACTGGAAAACTTTAGGCTTCTTTGTCATAGGTAAGCACAAAACAAGACATTTCAAAATTGAGAAGGCTCTTTGAATTCAAGTGATTTCCTATATATGTTTCAGATCCTCCTTCTCATTTCTAAAATTACTCAGGCTGGGATAAATCCTGAGCCATCTCTATTGCTTACAGTCTAGGCTGCAGAAGGTAAAAAAGAAAAAAAAAAAAAAGTAGTATTGTGATGCTCACTTTCACAATTTCCAGTAGCTAAAATGTATCAAAGCTGACTGCCAACAGAACCAAGTGAATGGATGGGCAAAGAGCAATGGTATCCATAATCAGGAATTGCAGAACAAAACGTCAGAGCACTGCTACCAACTGTCCTTCCAAGCACATTTATCTCAATTTTAAGAAATAAATCAAGTACATCTTTGAATAACAGAATTTGAGCATACCATTAGACATTAAATGCTTAGACAAAAAGAAATTTCCAGTGATGTTTGTAAGCAACCTTGCAGAACCTCAGATGCAACAAGTGTACACATAAAAGGAATTATTTTCTTACAACAGTTAGCTTTGGGCTTTGTAAAAGCAGAGAATTTTAAAAAAAAAAAAAAAAGCCAATAAAGCCTTCTTTAAATTTCTGTTCTCAGATGTTACTTAAGACACTTAATCCCTTCTATAAAACAATAACATTTCATACCTTTGGTAAAGAAATATACTCTGGTTCCATCTCCTCGTACATAAAAATTTTCTGACAAGCAATGACCTAAGAAATCAGAGCAGTAATGAAAAAAGACACGTCACTTTTTTTCAAAACGAGTTAAAATGAACAGTGAACTGCAATAATAGCATTCGGGAATTACCTTTTTTAAAACGAAGTTGAGCTGTATCGTATCTTCCATAGTCTCGAAATAACAACATTCCTCCAGGTTTCAGTAGTTTAGCCAACCTATTTACAACCCTTTGCATCCTTAGAAAATAGATGGGATATTGTTGAAATTTGCAAACATAACTGTTTCCTTCTAGATGCTTGAATCAGCAACCTTATCTTGGAGCTTCTCATAAATACATTCTTCTCATAAATACATTTGCATTACTCTACAAAATACATTACTAATGAAAAATCACTTGTGTTTGCCTCACACTTTCAGAATAAACTGAAGGACTCGGGTTTTCCACATTCATGAAAAACTATGGAAGGCAGGCTGCACCTGGCAGGCTGCAATGTAGAAAAGTCCACTTGCCTAATTTAAGCATTCCTCCCACAGGGAAGCAGACTAACTGTGTAGAAGATGTGGAGCCAGAGTGAATGCTAAATGAACAGAAAGGAAAGGCAGAGTTCTGTATCTGAAAAGTGCTAAAGAAGTCTTAACTATACACAATTATCATACCATTACTGTGTACCAAGAGACCATCCTTACACCATCCCTGTCTATCAGGTGGCCTTACCACCTTGCCCCAGGAATGCCAGAACTCAAGCACTAGTGCTATCTGGTCCTTATGCAACAGCAGTGCAGGCATCTTACCTTGATTAAGGGATGGAATTAGGAGGTAGTTCATCAGAAAATAATATCATATCTCCAAACAAACAAACAAGAACAAAAAGCAGCATATACTTTTTAAGCACGGAATTCCCTCAGAGGAAGCCAGGTACTTTAAAAGTTGTCCTCTTTGCCCATCCTCAACACAGGTAAACAAGTGTGCCGCCACAGACAGAAAATGCAGCACCACCTAAGAATAAAAGACTGCTCAAGGACCACCTAAGAATAAAAGACTGTTGAAGGTGGGTAGTTGTGCACAGAATTACAGACTTTGCCTGCATAACATAAGTTCTGTGTACACAGAAAAAAATGTACATGCACAAAAAGTGCAAGTGCTTTGAGAAATCTCATCCCTAAGGACTAGAGCACATTAATTACGTAGCTTGAAGAAAGTTAAATACCTTTCAAATTCTGCAACCAGCTTTTAGAGGGGCCTTCTAGCACAATTGAAATGTGTTAAAAATGGGATACAAAAGCAGCAATTATCAAAAACTAAATACAATAGCCTGAAGAGAAATCACTAAGTAACAATTGTCCTAAATGTGCCCCTCTCATGTATATTTTCCAGGTCTCCAAAATACGTAAGTTCTGCATCATCATTCTCTTGGCTTTCTTTTTCATTTCCCACTTTCAAGTTTCCAGAAAAAGTGTATACTGAGCAAGATGGATCTGGATTACATTTGCCTTCCTGCAGTCATTTTAATTTTATGAGATGACAGCAATGACTAACAAATCTTTGGAAAGTGGGTCTTACAACACAGATAATTGCACAGAAATCTATGTGTGTATACAGACACACACAAAAGCATCCATGTGAGCCTTTAGATGCTGACATTGGGGGGAAAAAAAAAAAAAAAAAAAAAAAAAGACAAACACATTCTCAAATGACCAATAGGAAAAGATCCACAGAAATTCTGACAGAACATCTGATTACTGCTTCTACAGGCAAAGTGACTGAATGAATGAATCTCTATTGTCCAATTTCTTCCTGGCAGTATCACCACAGTTACAGAGATCTGAAATCTACTGCTTGAATTGTTTCTGTAATCTGGACCCAGGCTTTGCATGACTCATGTGCTCATCTCTGAACAAACAGGAAAAAGCAATATCCTATATGGGAAAGATTTTTCTGTAAAGCTAATCATTAATAACTTAGGCAGGGAGGCAGGGAAACAGTTGTCAGACTTAGGCAAATACTGGTCTGTTTGCCAAGCCCATTTTAATGACACACTTAAAGTAATAAATGTATTACGACACATACAGCATGTATTTTTCTTCATATCATCTAGTTAAAGGAAGAGTCAAGGAGTTAACTTATGTGGCCTCTTTTGCATTTTTCCCATTAAATAAAGGGCATTTTCACAATCTACCAGCTTCAACAGTCAAAGTTTGGTTCATTACACAATGAATGGCATTAGTAACAAGGTGAACAGTGCTCAACATAACACTATGCATGAAAACTAGATCAAGTTTTCTTAATACAAACAAGTTATCAAATTCTGAATGCATTTTGTTTTAAAAGCCTGCATGTAAGCATTTGTGTGTGGCTAAACCAGCAACCTAATTTTTTTTCAACAAATTGTAAGGTGTTAAATCATGAATGTTTGGTTTTTATCACTAAGAATAATTTCCTTCTAGAAGACTAGTGGTCTTTTTAAAAAATTTCTAATTTTCTTGAATCACTATCACTTTTAATAGGGATGTATTTAGTTACAATATATCCTTTGTATTTTGATGGAGACAGGAGGCCCACTAATGAATTAGCCTGACCAGCCAAAGCCTGAATACGGGAAACAGCATTTAAAATACCTTGGTTTATATATATCATAGCTTACTAAATAATAAATTAAAGACTCATCATCTTCTTTTGCTATTCTTGAAAATCTCCAGTGATAAAAGAGATTTAACCCATTTGCTTTGCCCTTTAGTCTTCATTTACCTGTCAGGATGAATAGTAGAGAGCACAAAGACAAGGAGAATGACATCCAGGATCTCATCTGGAAAAGGATAAGGTAAAGCATCATCACACACATCATGAACAAAGGCAGAACACCAGGCTGAATTGTAGGACGAATGTGACTGTCAGGAAAAAGATGAAAGGTGGCACAGAGAGAACAGTAGTAGTTAATACGTTTACTGTGACTCAAGAAACTTTTTTTCTTCAATTATTCAGCATTGTAAAACATCTCATATAAAAGCCTATTCTGTCTGGTATCTTACTCAAGCTGAGAAGCAAGCTCACTGATGGTATTCATTCCTCTCTGCATAGAGTAAGACTTTGTTCTTTGGAATATTGAAAACTTCAGTTAAAAGTTGTCAAAGCCATCACATTCTTTTTCATGAAGACGGCTTCCTGGCAGCCTCCTGAATTACAGGCTTATAAGGTACTCTAAGGCGAGCATATGAATTACCTTTACCAGCTCCACAGCTCCTGAAGAAAAATCACAACAGTATAGAAAGGTTCCAGGTGTATTGCTAAGAAAACAAAACCAACATCAGTTAAAAAATTATTACTGTAAAAGATGAAAGTCTACATCAGTGTTCATGGACTACAGAGGGCTCTTTGGGGTTCTCCACAGGTTTGATCAAGCATGCCTTACTGATGTCTAGCACATGGAAAGCCACATAGGTTGTAATGAACCAACAGGGCAGACAAATTCATAAGAATACCAACAGGCAGATAGTATAAAAAGGAGAATTACAGCCCTGTCAGAGAGGAAGTGAAAAGGAAAAGAATAAAGGTCACAGAGGGCTGTCAGGATTGATGACAATGTCCTGGTGTTGTATTACATAAATGCACATTAACAGGTCACATTTTCTTACAGAAGCACTGCATTAAGTTTCTGTCATTATGCAGCTTAATTAGCAATACGATTTGGGCAGGGGTGGGGTGTTGCAAAAGTCATCCACAGTACTGTAGAGATTTGGGTTCCCATGTACCGTCTTTCTGAGCTTTTGATGAAATTAAGTAATATGGGTTGTTTCCCTCCATCATCCCTTTTTTTTGTAAGCCAAGATGAATAAGTATTTCCTGTAGTACTGTTTTCCCTTCCTTTCCCATCCAAGACTACGCCAGCTACAAATTTCCTCATACCATTCATCAGATACTAGGAACTCTAGGGATACATTTTTTTCACCTCCAAAGAATTCATTTAAGAGAAACAGAGCAAGCCCCTCAAAACCCACTGGGATGACCTCACGGTCAACTCACTATCAATTAATCTCTCTTTAAAAAATTTGAGATTTTGGACTAGTGGTTTCTTTAGAAAGGGAACCAATAAACTCTGGCACTGCCTGTAAGATCTCACAGTATACACAGGTAATTTAGTGACCTCTCTCTGAGGGCTCAACACAAGAAGCCTTGTGGACCAAAATATATTCCATCCTTGTTGCTGAGTAAAATTTTATCAGCTCTGTGCCCACCATGAGAGTTGGTGAGTTTAGATATTTATCATGGATGAGAACATGCAGCCAGGCTTTGGACCCAGCCACTCCTTTTGGAAAGGTTTATTACCTTGTTGACTTGCCCACCCCTTCCCACTGTGGGGGGGAAATGCTGGAAAGAGCCTTGGTGTTGTGTAAGCACTACTCAGCAGTAGCCAAAACACCAGTGTGCTACTGACACCCTGCCAGCTCCCAACATAAAACACAGCACCATGAGGGCTGCTATAGGGGAAATCCAATTCCAGCTCAGCCAGACCCAGTACAGGATGTTTTTTCAAATTTTTTTAGAGCAGAACAGGAACTATGTAGAAAGTCAAAGACACAGATTGATCTGGATGGTGATTTCATGATGCACTATATTAAAAAGCAGTAACTTAAATTTTAAGGGGGAGCAGTGATTTACAAGTTACATTACAAACATAAGTAGAAAATTTTTCTGTAGCCAGTGTACACTCATACTCAACACCAGCTTCTTTTTATATGCCTAAAAAATTCAATTTTTATATTATTAAATTCAGAGTAAAACCAACTGTGTCATATAGCCAGGCCTGCTAAGAGATAAGAGATGTTTCCATCAGGTCATATACAAGACAAACATGTGAGTTGTTCAATGTACCAACCAATGTGATTGACTGAAGGATTTGCATAATAATAGAGACCTCCAGGAAAAACACCTAATGAGTGGATTCTTAATTATCAGAAGTGCCAACCTATGACTAATGCCTCCTGTGAAGAAAACACAAAAGTTTGTCTCATCTTTTTTAATGCAGCCACATGCTATCTTTTCCCCATATAATGTTAATTTCCAAACTTTTCATATGAAATATGGCTCCCCTTTCATTATATGCTGTCTAAGGCAAAGCATTTGTTTTGGGATGAAGAGGCACTGCTAACACTAATAGGTTCCATGTATGACCCTGATGCATCACTCAATTGCCCCTGCTCTCTGTTTCTGTGTCTGCAAAATGGAGTATTCTTGTATAGTGGGATAACTAGCAATCAGAATTCATCTACAGAATAACAAACTCTGCTGTACTCAAGCTCTTGGAGGCATGAATAAAAAGAAATCTATTTCAACCCCTGATACATACACAGTCTTTCCAATAAAACCTTCCTGCCTAGATGGAAGGGAGGACATGCTGTCGTAACAGCTTCTTCTAAAACCAGAAGCTAAATGGACTAAGATGTTTCAGGGAATTAAGTAATGCAATACAGGACTTCTGCCTTCCTTGACACTAAAACCTGAAGCAGTATGACAAGTGTACTAGCCAAATTCAGAAATAATACAACTTCTTATCAGTAGACCACATACCATTATCTACTGTCTCTGATTCTGGTCTTTTCAGGAGACACTTGGCAGCTTTATGGTGACATATAAAACAAGACAATATTTTAGCTGCCTAACTACAAGAAATCAGTCTGAATGCACCTGAAGACAAACCTTGTCAGCAAATGCTGTCCCCCTGAGACTAGGGCTGAGTATGTGGTCTGTGAGCTACTAAAACAGTCCACTCAACGTTTCCTGCAGCACTGGTCTAGCAAATGGAGAACAGAACTTTGATAATTAAAAATCCAGCACTACATACCACAGAACTTTCAAAATTGGAAAGACACTGTTTCCAGCACCACAACCAACCTAAAATCAGAAGAGACACAAAAAGTTAAAATAAAACCTCATATTTTTAAATTTTTGTCTTGAATTAGTTGGGTAGGTAGGACCCATTAGACTTGAAGGTATGTTGGACAGAGAAGGTATAAACAGCTCACACTACAATCCCCAAATCACTTCTATGATCGCATTTCTCCTCAACACCTTTCTAAAGTTAAGAGAGAATGCATCTCTCAAACTGCATAGAAAAATGCAGTATTCTTGTCCAATTTCACCAGTTGGCAAGAATGCATCAAGTACCTGAACTGACTTTAAGACAAAACTTTCCTAAGGAAATTAGAAATCCAACTTCCAGTGAAAATGGAATCTGAAAATCTAGCCCTAAATTCTGATTTGGGAGAAACTTTAAAGGGAAAACAAAGCCCCGATCATAGGCTTCTCTGAAAGTTTCTGCTATAAATCAGTGTAGTATGTCAAATTCTAAATGTTTACTTTCTTGATGCTGACTAAATGTTTTTATCAGGCTTTTGAGAAATTAAGTGGATTTGTATGTGAGGGATAGAACATTGGCAGTGCATTACCTCTAATATTCTGTAACTGGCATCACTACCAGGGAAGGATTCTAGCCTGCCAAGTTCTTCTCCACAGTTTTTACCCTGAGGATTGTCAGTAAGAGATTTTGCTTGTGTTTTATTATATACACATCCTTGTACAGAAGTAGAACCACCTCCATAATTTTTCTTCCAATATTTTTCTCCTTCCTCAAACATTTCATTTTTGCATGAAAAACTGTCGATACTATTTATTTTTGTGTGTTCTGAAGATCTTTCTTCTGTTTTCAACTTTTCTCTCATTTTTTCTGGAAGAATTTCTGGAAACTCCAGAAACAGCCAATTGCGATCCTTGAAAAAGTTATTTTTATGAGTCTTGTAAAATTCATTCCAATATTTATTGGCTTCTCTCTCATATTTATCTGAAAATAAAACAAAACAAATGGTGAATATGAGCTTAGCTACAAAATACTGTAAAGCAGCATGGAATTTGGACCCCAAATTTTCAGTTAAAAAAAATCTGTAGTTTCCCACATTATACACATCTAAGTAAAACCACAGATTTTGAGTCTTACTTTTATTTGTGCTCAAAATAATTTCCAGGAGGGTTTAATTGATTTTATGTCACTTAGGATAGGGCAGACAGGCTTTCTGCATCATCTTTTTTTTTTTTTTTTTTTACTACAGTGACATAATAGAACATCACCAAAATATGCAATCATCAGATTCTTAGAGAGGCTTTCATGTCTCAAATTATAAAAGCAATGCATCCTTTTAAATAAATGTTCTCCATGTTTTTCGTATTTAAAAACACTAAATTGAAACTAATTTCATGATTTATGGAACTCTACGAACAATTGCAAATTTGTTGGTAGCTAGTCATCTCTCAAGAAAAACATCAATTAGAAATCCAGTTCTGTGAACTGGAGCGATAAATGATACCTCATTTATAGACAGTATAGACAGTAATTCACTCTTAACCATTTAACAATGCAGTTTTGACAGAAAATAACAATACAGTCAGAAGCAACATATATGCTTTCTTACTTTCAAAATACTTCAGAGATACTTACAATAGACCTTTGTGCTAACTTTTAATTCACAAAATATTTTAACTGAATATTAGAATGTCACAGGACTAGAAGGGATTTCACCCAGTCAGGGAATTCATACTCCTTCTCCACAGAAATTTGTCTTAACTTGTTCTTAAAATACCATCTTTCATATAGGTTTGACAACTTTCTTCAGTAATTTATTACAGCCCTTCACCATCTGTACAGTTAGAAACCTTTTCCACTACCTGAATTACAATAAGGAAATTTCAGGTTACGTCCAGTAATTCTTGTCCCATTAACCAAGCAGATAAAACCAAGATTACTCGCTTCTCTTTGCAACACCTATTTACTTATTTGAAGTCTTTTACTATATCTCCCATAAACAATCTCTTTTCTAGATTTTATAAACTTAGATCTCTTTTTTCCACAGAAGTAATCATTTTTAGACATCTGATACTTTTAATTTTTCTTCTCAAGATTCTATTCAATTGATTTACTACTTTTTGGTGCTGCATTCTGGTAAAGGCATTATCAACGCAGAGCAAAAGGAATATTTTATGAGGCTTACAGGCTGTAATCCTGTTTATAACTCCCAGCTTGCCATTTTGCAACAGCATGACACTGCTGAATCAGCTAGTGATTCACCACAACCCTCAGATCTTCTGCAAAATGACTACCTAACCAATTGTTCCAGAACCCAGTATTTTTTTCAAGGAATTATTCCTAAGCAAAGTATTCTGCATTTATTATTAGCAAATTTATATCTTTCAGATCCTTTTTTTCGACCTTTTACCAAGACCTTTCTGAAACATAATCCTGTCCTTCACCATACTTGAAACATCTCTTCACTTAATATCATCTTCAAGTCTCCCATGTCCTGAGGTCACTAATGAAAATACCAAGCAGAACTGGACATGGAACAAAACACTTCTCCGCCTAGCACAGCCTTCCATTCCTAGGATCTCTCTAGGCATTCATTCACCCAAAAGCAGTTTCATTAGATCTCGCTTGCCTAACTTGCTTATGAAAATGTCAAGTAAAGCATGTCAGAAGTCTGACTAAGGATAAATTTCAGGACGTCTGCTGTTTTTTCCTTATCCCCAGGGCTTGTAACCTTCTCCAAGAAGGAAATTAGCTTGATTTTACATGATTTATTCTTGAAAAATATTTGTTGGCCAGTACTCATCTCCTTTGTTCTTCCAATCCCAGTGTCTGCAAACTCTGGATTATCTCTTCCAGTATTTTTCCAGGAACTGAAACTAATTCTCTGACTCTTCTCTTTTCCTGCCTCCCTTTTAAAAAACCTAGATATTCTCTTTTCTGCTTTCCCAGTCATCCATGTACTCTATGAATGTACTCTGTAACCTGGTTTTTCTCAGTACAAGAACAAGATCTTTCCTCCTCATCACTAGCACTAATTGTGCTAGCCACTGGACTGCAGCTAACCCTTTCAAAGGAAGGCTAATAAAAAGATAAGAATTACAGCTTTTTCAATGTCTCTTTTGTTGATGATTTTCTCTTCCTCATCCCTCCCAAGTACCAAACCAAATCTTTTTCTTGATTTTTCACCTCATTCCCAAAGCATTTACATGTTACCCTTGGCACCTCTTGCTAAGTGTACAACATATAATGTGTTGCCTTTTTATTTTGTTGCTACTCACCTACACTGACCAGTTAATTCTTTTAATGTAAATGCACAGAGCAAATATACGGTGCATTTCTCCTACTATTCTCATTTAAATCTTAACATACTATTTCCTAAATCGCTACAGCTTTTCTGAGATAAACAAGGCTGAGAATTATCATTAGAGGCACAGACAGGCAGTGGGAAGTGGCAAGGAGGTGGCAGAATGCCTTGTCCTAGAAATCTGCAGAATTTTTTTAATTTAGCATTTAATACAACCAATTGTATTATTAAAGGGCAAGATCCAGCCACGCAGAGTAATTGTACAGACTTATAATGTAAGTGCAAAGTTGATTGAGGTCATATATACCAGATCTCAACAGTTTTAAGTTGCACATTCATAGATTACTCAGCTTCAGTATAAAAAAAACAAACCTTCTACTCAAATGCTTACTAAATCATTATCACCCCTTGTTCTAGTCACTACGTTTCTATGTCTGCTCAGAACCCTTGAACTTAAATTCCCATTAAGTTTTCCAGATTTCAGAATTGAAAAGCAATGGCTTAAGTCAGCCTTTTAAATTGTATTAGTATGGTATTACATAAATTCAAGTGAAAGAACACTTTAGTTTCCATTCTTTCTCTGGCCACTCCTGCACCACTGCATAATAACCACTCATGCATTATTATCAATTTTTTGTTTAATTTAAATATTTAAGTAGCCTGATTACTAAATTTTCCAAAGCATATAAAAATTACAAAACTAATAAACATATAACCTTTTGAGACAAAAAAACCTCATAGTCAACTGATTTTTCTCCTTGACAGAATCTTTCATACACTAGCAGGCATGTCTGAAAACTAATTGGACATACTAATAAGTAAATGAAATTCTTAAAGGTAGTATCATGAGTTCATTCTCTTGGTTTAACAAGGCTCACTAGAATTATTCTATTTTAATGATATAATAGCATTGCTGAAGTCTGTCTTGTCTTTCTCCCCTTACTGCAGTTTCCGAGGCCCCAAAATAACCTGCTCATTAGCTTCCGTCTAGTTCATTGTTTACACAGATAGGCCAAAATGTACTTCCACTTGCAGAACGAAGCTGAAGCTTTCCGAAGGAACTCTATCAGCAATGCCCACCTATTCAAGTTCTAAACAGAGGGGTATTGATAGAAAATGTCCTTGGATTCTTGTATTTCTTGGCAATAGACAAATGCCTGATTATTTCATTTCTCACCAGCAGAAACTAAGTTCTAATTGATTGTACATGGAGAATGAAAGGTTCCATGAGCCACATGGTTACACAACTTAGTTTTCAATCATGAGCTCTTTTTCAACTTTTTATACAAATCAAATGAAAGTATTAGATGTAATTTTTAAAAAACAAACATTGTACTCCTGTATTTAGATAAAGAACATGAGATGTAACAGAAAAGGGCAGGATGACAATCTCAGAGCATTCAAAGTGACAAAGGGCACACAATCCAAAAGACATTCACAGGTAATTCAAATAAACTCCAACATGTACCCTAGTTACATCAATGAAACTGAGTCATAATGACACTATCTAGACAGTTTCCAGACATGCCAAGTAAACTGAGGCCCAGAACATCCAAGTAACTGTCTTTGGAATATCTTTCCAATAAAGGGACAAACTATGAATCCAGTCTTCTATGCTAGTATCAAGCTGATAGTCCAGCTTTAGCATACATAATTATTGCAGAGTTCAGTCCAGGGTTTAGTTTGCCAGTCTGAACCTAGACCTATCATTCTTCAGAAATGCAGAAAACATTGTTTCCTCTCTAAAGACACACATGAAATTCCTTCATCATTTACAGAGCAGACTCTGCGTGATGTATTGGAGCACCTTCCACACAAAGTTCCTGAAGCACTCCCAGCTCAGATTGGCCAAGGCAGCAAGCTGGGTCCAGCTGGGACCAGCGCAACTTTCATGGCACTTAACTGAAATATGGTGCAATGTACAAACACCAGCTCTCTAAACACTCCACAAATCATAAAAAAGCATTTGAATATTGTACATGTGAACTTTCATCCCCAGCACCCTAGCTGGCTGCAAATTCATTCCCTTTGATGAAGTCCTGTAGTTTTATTCTGACCAACTGCAAAAGAGCCATAACTTGCAACTGCACCATACAGATGTACTTGTTTTACATAGAGCATATTGGCCCCACCCCATGCAAAATAAGTAACTGAACTTCTAGAAAAACACTTTGAGACAATCTTTTGATGCAATAAAGGAAAAAAACAAACAAATTTAGACATGAGAACATAAAAAGAGTGGTCCTGAATTTTAAAGCATCTTTAAATGCTTTAATAAGTAGCAATACAATAGGAATTTTTAAGCCATTATGAATTTGCTACCTTGGTCTTCCCAATGGACTTTCACAAGTGAGTTCTGTGCTGCTTTTTCCTTAGCATTCTCCTCTTCTTCTTGTGACCACTGCATGTGGTCCCTGCAAAAGGTAGTTGAAGAATTAGCCTTTAAATAGGATTTTCCATAATGGGTTTCCCAGGGAAAAAAATAATAAATTAGCTACACTGTCTCAAGTACTTTTTTTTTTTCTAATGCAAGCAAATGACCACAAGGAGACTGACAGTTAAAAACTAAGTTTCAGTGTGTACCAGATAAAAATGAATTACTAGTTAGGTCAAACTCAAGTGAAACAATTAAGAAAAATCTTGCAACTGCAAAGAGGCTGAAATAGTACGTGCTTTTTTTCTTAATAATAGGATTAACACGTATCTTTTAATTGAGTGCATTTATAGGAATGTACTTTGAGTGTTCCATTAGAACTGCATTTACCTGGATATAGTAACACACCTATCAACAAATACCCTAATGCAAGAAACTTCTCATATTAGCAATGTTTGTGATGAAGTACAAAGGTCATTTACCAAAGGAATCAGCTGATCCAGAAACAGTGAGCATAATCCACCTATTCAAGTGGAACAGGTGGAATTGATGAACAGGACTTTACTTATTTGTGGAATAGAGACAGGAAAGTTTTAGAAAAAAAGAATAAGACATTCCCAAGACAAGCAGTGTTGCAATGGTTCAAGTCTATGCTATCTACTGTTTTGTAAAGTGGTTCGCTAAATGTTGTATTAATCCACTAAATGGCCACAAAACCAAGCCAAGATCTAACCCTGATGACTAAACTGCCTTCCCTGCAGATTCTGTGTTTGCATCAGGCCACAATGGGGAGTGCCCAAAAACATGTTGCCGACAGCTTTTAAAAGCAAATCAGCCAGCCCTCCAAACTGCCCAGACTGAACATTTTTAGAAAACAGATTAAATTAGATTAACATAATTCAAGTTACCTGTTAGATCCTAATCCTACTGAAATCAATTAACTGAAAGCCTATGACTAAAATTCCATTGGTTACTATGGGAAAAGGAACAAGGTGCCAACTTGAAAAAAGTTAACTGTGTCTAAAAGCTAATGAGCATCTTCCTGTTCCATGCTTGGTGATATACAGGTAATTTAATTCTTAGACCTTCACTGTTCCTCTTTTGTTAATTGTGGGAGACTAATTCGTATGTATTTGTCTGCTTGCCTCAGACTTGGTTTCCGTATCTCTACCGAAATATTTCTTAGTATTGTCCCCAGCAGGTTGCCTCTCCCCTTCCTGTATTTGTTCGTATACCAAATGTTCCTGTGCAGCGTCAAGGCTCTGACAGACATGTTGTAATAGAATAAAACTGTATGACTGAAGCATTACTAGGCAGCCATCCTCTTGGAGAGACTTGCTTCCCTCACTGCTATCACTATTCTAGCAAGCTGAAACCAAGGACTATTCACATGGCAATAATATCAGTCAGATGGGCTGATGGTATGATTTTCCTGTGGTATAAGCTTTTTCTGATCAATTTTAATCCACCATTGTGTGTCCGTCAGAGCCCTTAAGGGCTCTACACACAATACTACAGGTGCCTAAAGTCCTCTATCTTCATCAACAATTTTTTCTCTTTTATCCCTCCTTGGAAATTCATAAAGCTGAAGAAAGATCTCTTGGCTCTTTCCTATAAATTTCTATACGGAAGACCCCAAACAACAGGACCGCAGTAGTACTTCTTGATCAAAATCTGTAAAAGAGGGGACATAGCACAGTTCTTATGCAAACTATTTACATAGTATGGATGCTTCAAATGAGGCCCCTCCTTCACCAATACAAGCTGGCAGGAACACAGGATACAGAAAATTTCTAAGCACAGAAGTGTTTAAGTACAGAAGTGTTTTAAGTTGAACGCTGGCAGCAGCAAAGCAAGCTATCCATTTTAACCACACCAGGAACTGTTAGCATGAGTAGGCCTGACACGAGATCAAGCAATGCTACTTTCAGTTCAGCTTACTCAATTTACCACTTTTCCATTAACTTTTCTGCTTGCATAGGTCTTAATCATTTCTGAAAACTAGTATGTGAAAACTATGCCAATTACTAATGTGAACAGAAGCAAAAGACATTTTTTGCTCCAATGTTTAGCATCATTCATTGTTTCTCTCTCCAAATGATAGAAAAGCACCACAGCAAATATCTAAAGCATTAGTTCCCAAATTTAATTTCCTTAGTATTCCTAGAAGCAGTGGTAGCAGCTCTCGTCTCCCTGCCAATTCACACACAGGCAAAAAGAAGGATGCCACTTCATGAATTACCAAAGATGATGAGTGGCAAACAGGAGGATATAAATCCTCATACATCAACGCTAGGGAGGATGTATCTCTTATGCACACCCTGCGTGATTTACTTCGCTCAACCACCACTCATCCTGAACCCCTGTATCTCCCTAGTGAGAACCCTGATGATTCAGACAGCTTCAGACCCAAGGACCTCCACACACTTCATAGCCACGTTCTTGATTTATCAAGACCTTCACAACTTCCATGCAGCCGCTGCTGTAACTCAGTTTCACCTGTTTTCCCTTCTAAGCTATGTAGATTCATCTGCAGCTCCACTTTATGAACAACCCTGTTCCTTCCAATCCCATGTTCACAATCCATCCGAACCACCTGCATCATAAGTTTGATAACTCTGTATTAGACTGTCACCAAATGCTAGCAAGAAAAACTGAAGCTACATGTGATCAGTTATTAGGAAGGAAATTAAAAAATTAATCAACATTGAGTTTCATCAAGGCACAATGTTATAGAAAAAGTGTGATCTTTTTCTTAAAATCTTTTCCTACCTAGACTATATACCCTGTATCTAAGTCAGCATTCACACAAGCAAAGGATTTTTCCATCTAGCAGGTCTTGAGACTGGAAGATGCTTAAGAACTACACTGCATATAGAATTATGAAACACAGAGATAAACTTTACACTCTTTTAACACAATAACCAGCTTCTTCAACCAAGGAATTTACAGAAGTATAGATAAATCCAGATTTGGTCTTAACGTGGTACGTGTTGGGGACCATGGCTTGAGGACATCTAATTTAGAAAACAGTAACAGGTTACAGATCTATTTGCATATCTTACCTCATGAGTTAAGACCAAATTTAGAGACTAAAAAGAGTAATGAAGACAATCTTCTGTGTCATGTTCTTCTCTTAAAACCTTTTTATTCATTAGAATTTTATTAGGGAAACTTTTAAATAATTTATATTAAATTTAGATTAAAAAGCAAAGTGGATCAATTAACAGTTTTAAAAGACTACTAAAAAGAATAATAATACTAAAAAAACCAGCAAGTTGGAAACTTTATTTCAGAACAAAAGCTTGTTCAGTAACTTCTCTGCCAGTTGCCAGCAGGGGACATACCTTCCTCAGAGGTAAGAGCTGCAGATTACTTTTATGAAGTAAGCTTAAATCCTGAAACTTGTCATGATGACCAATGGGTAACATAACATAAGAGTAACATTAGCCACATCCAGTCACTTTTCTAATTCTGCTAAATCCTTGCTCTCAAAAATGGTGTGTGGCAGAATTCAAAAATATATTTGAAAATTATGTAGAAAATAATTTCTTGTATAGCTTCTAAATTCCCTTTTCATCAAATATTCCTTGTTCTTAAGTTATGTACTATAGGAATAGAAATTCCTGGTCTTCTAAGTATCTTAGGTAGATATTCTCCTACTTTTGAGACCGATTTAGATATTCTTCAATCCTTCTAACACCTCCTGTATCACTTACTGTTTTGTATTCATCTCCATTCCACAGTCAAAAATCCTAGCCTTTTTGATCTCAGTTTTCCCACTGTGTTGACTAGCATTCTCTAGCATTCTCACACTTTGCTGAGCCCCCATTAATCATAAAAACACCTTTTAGAGATGGAGATGTACTGCTGCTAAACAGGGCAATTATTATGCTTGTTAACAATTACTTGTTAATGTTTCCTCTATTATATCATTTATTTAAGATTCAGTGTACCTTTTCTGACAACTGTGTACTGTATGGAAATTTCTGCTGAGCTATCTGTAACATCTTCAGTACACCTTTAGAAGAATACAAGTAATTAACATGTTCCTTTTGAAATGGTGTCAATTTTAGAACACAGTGCTAATCCAATATACAGCATTATTGTACAAACTAGTAACTTTCTGCCATTATAACATGGACTGCTTATCCTCTACACTTTCTGTCTCCTAATTCATTACTGATCTATAATGATATTTTGCCTTTTATTCCATGACTAACTACCTGCTCAGCAGCTTTTTACACAAGTCACTGAGAACTCGTAACTGTCAGGTTACTTGTGATAGTCTCAAGTTCTCACTAGTACTACCTTTCAACATCTATTCTGGCAGTTCATTGTTATATGGACTCATATGCATTGTCATATGCACTCATTCATCATAGCAACACCCAAAAATATAAGAAAATCAGCCTTGAAGAAACATCTCACCACATGTTATGCTCAAAAACCTTAGAAGGATCAGTTAAAATCCGTGATCCAAGTGGAACAGCCGGTCGTCTACCACTTTGGTGCCTCTGTTGCAACTTGCTTTTCCTCAAACATAAAGCAGAAAGCCTTGTAATGAAATTCATTTTGTTCAGAGATCTGAAAACACAATTAACTCAAATTACAGTTTTGTTGTAACTTCATTGTTTATGTCACTTACATGAGAAACTGGTCAAATAATCAAGCACCAATATCAACTTTAGCAATAATCTTTTACTACAGCATCAATTTAAACGCTTTTTAGAAAATAGCAACATCCCTTCAGTGTGCTGAAAGCCCAAATAATCTCAAAGTAGGCTACTGGAATGAAACCAGTTGAAAGATAAATTATTAGGAAAAAAAAAAAAGAGACATACACACAAAAACAATAAACCAAGTTTGATATTGTACCTTTAAGAAGATAAGCTAGAAGCGATCAGTAAAGTAACCACTTGTTCTAGTAGGTACCTGCTGTCATTAAGATTGACATTTTTCACCCCACTCACTAGGTAACCATCTTCAAAAGATTTCATTCTAGAACTGTGACTGTGGCTTTACACATCTAGACAGAAAATGAAAGATTGATTTTTTTTTAAGTGTAAACATTATGCAACAGAAAGCCTTCCAAAATTTCTGCCACGTTTTCTCCCAATCCCTGTTTAATGCCTCTTTGAAATGAATGGGTTGACACGTTAAATTTCTAGTCATGCAAATTATATATGAAGTGCTTGAGATTTTTCTATGACATGTCTAATTCTCTCTTATGCTGCTGTATTTTACTTTACTTGGAATCTTCATATAGTATTAATAACAAAAGACAACTAGTGTGTTTAGCTAGTGCCAGCATTTTTTCTTGTTGGCTTTTGGGTTTTTTTGCATATTCTTGTTAAAGTAGGCTTTCTAGGAGATGAGTAAAATGAAATACCCCTCCTACTACTTTTACCCTGATGTGCCTTTGTTCTTTTTTCCTTCAAGTGTTCTGCATATGACTTTAAAAATTATTCTTAGTCCTATTTTTTCCTGACTTTTTTTTTTTTTTTTTGCGTGCTGCTTCTGTATAAACCGCACACACAAATTTAATGCACTGGAAATACAAAATATAGTTATAAAAGAACAGGCATAGTTTAAATACAGACATTATCAGAAAACATTCTGTGCAAATCGGTTACAAAGTGAAGATTTTTATCTTGAGGAAGATAGTACTATTTGACCACAAGTCTTGTACTGTGAATAAAAAAAGATTAATTTGCAAAGATCAATACAAGCTTGGCAAAGAAATGAACAATTCCTCATATAAGGTGTACTTTTGAATGAGTCATGCTTTAAAAATGTCATTGTTTATTCATTTTAAGCCTACAGGAAAAAAAAAAAAAAAAGAAAAAATATTTTATTTGTCAAAGATTAAATAAAATGAGGTTTGCCTTTGTCTGGTCAATGCCAAATAAAAACACTGATAAATTCCAACTGTGGCGACTGCACTGTTACCAGGATATGGGGCATCACCATACAATGAAAATGTACCATTTAGTCCTATTAAAAAATTAAAACCTCTTCTAATGTTAATGAGTTTATTATGGCTCTTTTTGTTTTAAATGTGTCTCAGCGGCTAAAACAATTGCAGTTTATACTTTAATTACCACAAACTTTTTATGCTTTGTTTTTGAAAACATGTATGCATTTTTTATAACTTAATGCACAATTATTAACATATGTGGAATATTATGAAATAATAATTATGAGACATGAAAATTAACACACCATGACAATTTCTGCAAAATGTGTAATTTACATAAAGGCAACGTTTTTGAAAACAAAAGCAAATAGAAAATCTCCCCCAAACCCAAAACTCAATCTGATCTAAAATTATTATCATTATTAAAGTATAGAAATGCCTCGATAAAGTTTCCATGATTACGTCGCAAACTGTTTACAAATCTCCTTCCTCCTTCAATCATTCAAAAAGACCTGAGATAGTAACTTGCATTTCCTGTTCCCGCACTGATATTCAACATAAAATACAATGATTCAGCTGCTAGGCTAGTCACATAATTTTTCTTGGCTTTCTAAATATCTCAGTAAGAACATGAAAAGATGCACAGATGGGAATTATAGTCAGATGACTAAGATGATCTTGCATCAGTAGAATCCAGAGATGCAGCTCTTTTTATAAGAATGTGATCCTTTGAGTGATAATTGCACAATTTTAGCTGACAAATTCTGAAACATCAAGAAAATGCAAGGAGAGTGGGATAGGTGGGGGAGTTAAGTTTACAGTTGCATCCAGTGCTAAATGTGAAGGAACTCCTTGGAGACATGCATGTATATCCCTTAGAGTTAGTTATCCATAGATCATGAGATTAATAAGCAATCTGGCTACTAAGAGTTCAAAAAGCATCTAAAATACTTGGAAGCCTAAATTACATTTTCAGAAGCAAGTCACTGCTCGATTGTTTATCTAATTGATTTTATTAATGAAAGAGGCAAACACCCTTTCTCTTTGTCAGATAAGATGATCATACCCTAAAGCCATGACAGCAAGAAACGTTATCTGAAAGAATTATTTCCTTGTTCAGAGCCATGGTTAGAAAGGCTTTAAGTTTGATTATTAATCAAAGCAATTCAACCTTCACCTTAAGGATATTATAATGAAACTGGATTACATTAAAAATGCCTACATTTTGTGGCAACATAACTGTTTTTCAGAAACAACTTTAAAGAAATAATGCACTTAGTAAACCACACTCAAAAGCAACATGGAAGATTTTTTTGCCCAGTGGAGCACTCTTTTAGCATTCAGACTTTTGTCATTGTTACAAGTATGGATCCGGTCCTCTCATTGAGAAACTTTAACAGCCTTAAAACTACTTTCCTCCCCAAGCAATCTAACACAGCACCTTTAGTACAGCTTTTTGAAGGTGGACATGCGGAAGAAAGTACACACATCAACTACTAGCTAGACCTAAAATAATATATTACTAGTTGATGTTGGCATTAAAACCTCTGAACAGTCACATCCACAGAGGAAAAACTAGAGATACAAGAGAAAATAGCTGTTCTAATCTTGTTTTTTAAATAGTGAATTACATACCAAAACATATGTAAACCACGTCATCAACGAGTAAAAGCCTTCAGAAGCATTGGTTCTGAAAGAGATGTCAGAAAAAAAACCCCAAACAACCAACACAGAACAGAAATTACCTGTCATCTTTGAGGTTTGTAGAGTGCACGTTATAAAGAAAAAAAAAAAGGCTATATTAGGAAGAGTATGTGCAGCTTATGTTACATTTCTAGACAGAAAAGTGTTCTGAAAACAATTAACTTAACACAATTACTTTTTCTGCTTGGCACCTAGAGGCTTAGCTACACAACATTTGACAGTGCTCTCCTGTAAAGTATAGCTCATCTGCTTTATCACTATTAAACACTACCAAAACTCAGAACACCTTACACAAAGTGGCAAGTGGCAATCATGGACACAAAGTGAAAATTCTTCAAGATAATGGCAATATAGAATGTCTAACTATGAACTACAAGTGGTTATTTTTAGAATATATGCATATTAATATTTCTTACTATTTCAAACTGGGGGGGGAGGAGGGGACTTTACTGTCTACCAGACTCATTCATTAAGTGAATGCTTAATGCTATTCTATTCTACCAAGTGACTAAACATGCCCTCTTGGGGCTTTGTGATTAGTCTTTCAACAATATACTCAAAAGAAAAAAAAAAGTGTGCACATTTGAAACAATAGGATATTTTGCAACTTTTCAAACTCAGCAGATCTAAAACTCTCAAATGATTTTCCTTCTCATGCATCATCACCAGCAATGAGGCAGGCCTCCCTGCTTGGCACACAGCAACTTCAGTAAAACTACTGCAGAGCACTGACTACCAAGGGGAAAATAAAAACAAACAAAAAAATTATTTTTATTTATTCTGACTCCTGTAGAGACAACACAATTAACATTGGTTAAAAAGTAACAGCAAATAAAAACAAGCAAAGAAATCCCACCAGATAGGATTTTTAACTACATGTACAGAAAGGTTGAGTAAGAAGAGCCTGTTCTTACACCACATGCCAGGTAGACTGTTAAAAAGTCAAGCAAAGAGGAAATAGATTATGAAATGGTAGAGTGAAGAAGAGAGGGAAATAAAACTACTCATTTACTGAAAACATTTACTTGAATCACTATACATCCAGGAGATCAGCAACAGAACCTGAAGGTACATTATTTGGGATAAAATAACGTATGTAGGTACTATGTAATCACTTCTAAAAGTAAGAAAGCAGACAGTTATCAGGGACAAGCAGAGACCTAGAAATCCTTGAGAGTTTAAACAAATATTATTTAATTCCCTAATATTGTATTCATTGAGAATTGTTTCTCAGTCTCCCTTCTCCATCTTGATACTGCTGTTGGAATTACTCTGCTATATTTTTTCAATATCTTATAAAACCATGGAGTTTATAATTGTATTTTTATTCTTTTATTTTTGAGAAACAATTCCCATAAAAAAGGGAAAATGTTCTTCAATTGAGACTATGAACTGCAACATTAATTCTTGTTGGCATGTGATTCTATTGATCTTAGAAGACAGTGGAAGCAAAGAAAGCTTTCTCTGCAGTACTGTGGGAATCAACTACACTACTTAATATGTTTTTAAGCTAACGAATACAGTTTGAAAAAATACAACTACAGATTAAATAATGGCAACTGCAAGATCAAAAAGACATGAATAGCCAACAAGGAAGAAAGAAACAGGTACCTTAGATATAGATGCATTTTATATACTGAATCTTTAATCAATTAATGTGAGCATTAAATAACTAACAGAAGTATTTTATTTGAATTAATTGTATGGATAAAATGTGGAGTTCAGTTGCTACAGGTGACTAATAATTTTTTCAATGCTAAACTAAATCTGAGCTATTTATTTTGTCATTTGTAAAGGCAGGCGATAAAACATTCTGACAGAAGCTCATGAAAAAATGCTGATTCAAGAAAATCACAGTATTTTAAAGAAATATAGCAATTTTGTTGACACTTTAACATATTCAAACATTTTCATTATTTTTTGCAATGTTGAAAGATCTTGTTTTGATCAGGACAAGTGTGTTTTGCATTACTTCCATTTATAATAGTGATGTTCTGACTTCACTATCAAATACTACTTTGCCTTGAAAATGAAGCGCCAATAAAGTATTTGATTTGAATTCAAAATACTTCAACTTGTGAAAAATACTTTCATTCCAACTGAAGCTAGAATTATATTTTCATATCCTAGAATCACTCTTGGAATGGAATTGTTACTTTTATATAGACGTATTTATAGTAACATTTTCAGTGTTAATTGTTCTGCTGTTCTATGTTTGTAACACCTACTAAAGGCACCCTCAGAAACTGTGTCATTATAAATATTGACTAAAATAATTTGAAAAACAGAAATTAAGAAGATAACAGTTACTCTCACTACAAATTTCTTAAATATTGCATAACGTAAAGAATCAAATTCGCAAGTAATTCTTTAGGCTATTATCCTGCATTTGTTTAACTTTAGAGACAAGTTGTCCACCCACATATCAGTAAGTGTAGAATGGGATTTAAATACGTCACTATTCTTATGCAATCCTTTACTTTTTCCCCCTATTTTTCTGCATTTTCCATGAGGTAATTCACGTCTTTTTCTGCTATTTATACAGCGAATACAACACGAAACTGATTTACTAAATTAATGTGTTCTCAAGTTCAACATCAAGAGGAAGCCATCAATGGTAAACATAGTTGAGAAATAAGGCTTCCTAGTTAACCTGTGCACCCTCTGCTGGTTGGTGTTGAAGTAGGAAGAAAAAAACAAAACAAAGCTGTGTTGACTTTATGTATACATACATATACATGAACAGTGAACGTGCATTTATGTACGTATCTTTTCATCACTTAAATTGTTTTTCAGCCCTGTTTTCTACAAAATACTGAGTATGTAACTGTATTGCCTAACAATCAAAAGATGATCTGTCTCAACACAAACCATGTTGTTTATCAAAGATGCTAAGAATGGAGATACAGCAACGTGAGTTTTACTACTATATGTAATTTACTTTGAAGAACCTCGTTCATTGACATTCTTGCAAGTCTCGGAACGTCAACAAGGCCTTTGCTTAGGTGCAACCCGCCCTGCCAGCTCTGAAGTCCCTGGCAATGTTGCAGACCACCAGGCAGTACGCTGTGCATACTGTCCTAACCCACCCTTTGGAGGCGCAACTGCAACCACCGTGTTTGTGTTTAGCTCGCTTCATCCAAATAACAGCAAAGCACCAGAAAAGACAAAGGAATCTGGGTTTTGTTACCGTATCAGCAAAAAGTAAAGGTTCCACTCAGAGATCCTGCAGAAAAGACAGAGAAACACATAAGACCGGCAACTTGACAATACCCCATTTGGGTGCCTGGCCTCTGTCGAGGAAGGAAAACGAATTTTCCCCCAGACTTCAGCTGCTCTGCTGGCAAGCAGCTGTTGATGATAGCCACAGTCTTTGGGACGTAGCTCTAGAAATATAAAAATCAAGTGTCATACATCTCAAGAAGCCTCTGTTGACCCTGGAGATCTAAACACTTTTAAACAAATCCTTCAAAAACCGCCCCCACAAGCCCGGCTACGCTCCACCCGGCACAGCCAGCGGCTGCCCGCGCCCGGCACAGCCCCGCGGGGCGTCACTCTCCAACAGGAAACACTGAAAGAACTTACATACAAAGTTCCCACTTCTCCCTTCGCTGAACTACCACTGACAAAACTTTCATGCATTTAAAAACAAATTAAAAAAAAAAAAAAAAGGTATAGAATGATTCCATGATGCCATGTACACGCCCGCATGCCGACGCGCACTGCGCTTACTTCAGTCCCCGAGGGCAGGGTAGGGCAGCAGAGTCCGGCTGGGGGCAGAGCTCCCTCCGCGGGGGCGCCGCTGCCGGTACCGGGGGGCGACCACTGCCGGCGGCTCTCACCGACCTCTGCCTAGCGACCCTCCTCTTGCCCC